TACTGCATGGCACAGCCCTGGCACTGCTGAGCGCAGCTCCAGACTCCAAGCGCCCCAGGCTCTCACGTGCCCGTACCAATGACGTCACGCCCGAGAAGCGGACCGTTCGCGCTGGCGCCGCGTGCGGTACACTGGGAGCCTTCCGCGAAACGCACCGGCCGCCTCCGAACGGAGCAGGCGTCGACACGCCGCTGCGGATTTCGGAGCAGGTGCGGGAGAAGGCAGCGGCGTGGCACCGGGGCTCAGGGTGGGGCGTGGGGCGGGGCGGGGGTGGGGCGGACACCTGCCGTCCTCAACTGCATACTCAAGGGGTAAGGCGTGAGGCGTGGCACGGTACAAAATGACCAAAGACCGTTCCTGCCCCAGCCTTAGGGACACCCCTCTCCCTCTGGGGTTTCAAAAGTGTCTGGGGTGGTGTTTGGAACGTGTCAATGCCACGTTTAGCTACCAACGAGAGTGCAGTCAATGCGCTTCCCAGTATCGTCCAGGGGCATACGACACCAGAAATTAGACGCTAAGGCAGCCTAGAGCTCCAGCACTACATGGAGGGCAAACGAACCGGCTGCGCCTGTCGTCGCCGTTCCGTTCCGGCGTTAAGACCTGACCACGCCGCCGTTCCCGCATCGCAACATTGCCGCGTGGGCGAGCCGCATTGAAATGTTGATCGAGTTAAGCATGACCGCCTGAAAATCCGGCCGCGCCCCAGGCAAACCGGTCGCGCGATGACGTCACGCCATGGTCACGTGGTCCCGTTGCGGCCGCGCGCGGAAACCACGTGCCCGGGGTGGATGGTGAAGGAGCGGCTGGCAGCGTGAGTGCAGCTGGAAAGTTCTCAAAAGTGGGCGGAGCAAAGGTCTTCGTGAACTGGTCCTTTCCTGGGACTAACGCACCACGAAGGCGTTCAGAGAGATTCCCGAGCAGAACCCCACAAACTTTCAGCGTTCTAGCGCGTGATACCGTTTTCTGGCCACCCTCAAATGTGGAATGTCCTCATTCGTTGCCCGTGATGTGAAATAAAAAATAAAAGAAACAAGGTAACGATCATGTTTGTGCCTGCCTCCTCTTCCCCGCTGCACATGAGCCCCCCCCCCCCCCCCCTCCTCGAGATCTCCAGGGATCCGCCAAAACGTCACATATATTAATTTATACGCTTCGTTCTGCTATAAAAGGGTCTGTGTTAGAGCTGAAATTTCTGTTCCCGCAGGCCCGCAACGTCCGCACAGCACAAGATTTCGTGGATATTGCGAGGAAAGAGGCGGGATTTGGCGAAATTTCGGAGCTAAGGGCTTGCAAAGTTAGTTTTTTTAAGTCATTTGGTCATTTCTCCGTGCGTTACGCGCCAGTTTGTGTCTATGACACAATCAGACTAGCGTGCCTAAACGATATTTTTTAAAGAAAATGTCGAGGATCAAGGCAGATTTTGAAAATGAGCTACGGTGACGGGCGGGTTTTGAGAATCTCAAAAGTGACAGCTCTAATTTGAATCCTCCCCTGAATCCGTCGGCTCACGGGAGTCAACTGCATACGTCCTCCCCTAAATCCGTCGGCTCACGGGAGTCAACTGCATACGTCAACCTTCGCGCAGCAGAAGAAAGGCTAGCGACAAAAGATCTGGATCCGGATCAGCCAGCTTTCCCTCCCCAGCGCGCTAACGCGCTGCTGTGGCTGTCGCCGAGGGCGCGGCTGCGCTGTCGCCGGTTCAGCTCAGCGCTACTGAAGCCTCCCTTACGTACAGCCTAGGTACAGCCTCCCTTACGGCAGGATCGCAGCCCCGTGGCCGCGGGCATACGGACCTCTCAGGGTGGGGCGAGGGGCACCCATCCATTTGTAACATGAAGTTTCACGTCGCGAGAGCATACATAATGTAATTCCGGTGTCCCCACAAAAGCGGCTGCACAGTGTTCCACACGCCGCGCGGCTGCGGGGCTGCCGGTCTACCACTTCCGGCACGCAAAGGTAGCCATCCGAAGCACACTGGCCACACAACCCCCGGACCCTCAGCCACCAACCCGTCATCCAACGGCGTTCACAGGCGGACCCCTAGCGGGAAGTGCACCCTCTGCCCCACCCCCGTCTCCGCCTTCCTCTCCGTCGAAAAACGCGCATTGCACAAGGCGTTGCCTTTCCGTTTTTTGCTTTGTTTTTTGCTTTACTTTGAGATAAAACTTGCCTTAACGTGAATTTACATACTGCTTCTCCACCACGCCAATCCTGGGTACGCCCCTGGCGGCACACAGCAGGCCGCACCGCCCCCGCCCCGCCGGCTGGGGAGGGGGTTCACCTGCGCGCGCCGCGGCGTCGCTTCCTGCAGCGGCTGCCATGCTGCAAGCCCATGGAGGTCAACGGACGCCGGCAGTCGGCTGGCTATTTGGCGGTCAGCTGGCTATTTGGCGAGGCCGGTCTGGGCGTGACGTCATCGCGGCGCCGGACGGCTTCGCAGAGTGCGAAGGCGCTGCTGCGAGGGAGGGCCGAGTACGGGCGTGGGAGGTGAGGAGCGAAGACGCTGCTGCGAGGGAGGGCCAGACACAGGCGTGGGAGGTGTGGGGCAAAGATGCCGCTGCGAGGGAGGGTTTGGCACGCGCGTGGGAGGAATGGGATGAAGACGCCGCTGCGAAGGAGGGTAGGGCACGGGCGTGGGAGGAGTGGGACGAAGACGCCGCTGTGAGGGACGCCGATGCGAGGGAGGGTAGGGCACGGCGTGGGAGGAGTGGGACGAAGACGCCGCTGTGAGGGACGCCGCTGCGAGGGAGGGTAGGGCACGGCCTGGGAGGAGTGGGACGAAGACGCCGCTGTGAGGGACGCCGCCACCGCGCACGGACGTGGGAGGAGGGGGATGAAGACGCCGCCGCGCGGGAGGGCTGGGCACGAGCCTGGGAGGCGTGGGGCCGGACGATCCATGGGACATAGCCGTTGCAAAAGCAGGGTTGGTGGGCGAGGAAGGGTGGCGGTGCCACTTGAGGCCGACATGAAATCGGGGCCAGCTGGTTTGTGTGTTTTCCGGAGAAAATGAGGGTGCGCCCGGTTTTTTAAGGAGGGATGCGTGGAGTTTTTTTCTCTCTCAGCTTACTAGGCTCGAATGACATCACGTGGCCCATCCACATTTCATGGAAAATAAGCACGCATCTTACAGTTGTTCATGGGAGGGAAAGCCCGTGAAAAGGGGTTTGGTCCATTCACATATTTTGGGTTCGTGAGCCTCTCAGCGGATGGATAAGGCGAGCGGGAGTAAAGGGACGCACACGGACATCACAGCGAAATATTGCTACAGAGGAGACGGAACAGTAGAAGGGACACAGGGACGAAGAGAAGCGACCATATCTAAGTTGTAGATATTGTTGAACCCATCGGGTGCATCCATTTCTACGTCTTCCTGAGACAAACATGGTCCAGTTAAAATCGGACTTGCGGTCGATGATGTAATGGTTCCGTGGCCCGCCCCCTCCCCTCCCCGCATCCGCGCTTACCCACCGCAAGCTAGCCGGGCAGCGCGATGAGGGTCAGCCAAGTTCGTAGGCGACGGGACTTTTCTGGCGTGAATGGCATGTACATCCATCTACGACAGTCTTGCCACACGCATGGTTCACGCATTGTTTAATGAAGGATTGTCTACAAACTGGGGCGAAGAAGATCTCGAAAATCAGTCTCGTCAGTCCATCAGTCCGTCCCTCGAAAATCAGTCCGCGAAGTCAGCCTGGAGCCGAGCGCGAGACTGGCTACAAAACTTGAAACATTGCTCTTAACTGGCTACGTTTCCCACCCAAGCAAAAGGCGGGTAAACGCAGTACATACGTCCGAGCATGCGCGTGCCTTGAAATTAAGGCGAACGGCGTTTCACGCAGCAATAGCACGGTTCTCCATCCTCCGCAGCAGCGTCAAAGTCCGTCAACATCCGGAGCCGTCCGGCGAGTCACTTCACGTGCAGCCAAAGCTCGAAACCGAACATGCTGCAACCAGAAGGTGGCAAAGATGTTGCAGAAAGGGTTTGCAAACCCGAGTGGTGTGTATTTATCGGAATGGTAAATGTTTTCGCCCGGTGTCTACCAGCGCAGCCAAAAACGCGCGTTTGGACCCTGCCAGAAACAAAGGGAAACAAAGCTTCACGGGAAATAACATACTAGCTCTGGCTCTTCCATCAGCAGGAGACCGCGGGCTTGGCTACAGTGACATGCCATGCCAGCCTTATCCGAAAGGCTGGTAACGCGCTTCACTTCGCTCAGCCTTCAACATGGAGTGAAAACGAAAGCCCCGACTTCATCTCCGGCAACTACATGAGCAGCTCCCACTTCAGCTGAACCCCCCCCCCCCCCCCATACCATGAGTTAGGTCCACACATCCAGCCGTAAGTGCGGTCTGCGGATCTAATTTGTTGCTCCCGATCGATTTCCAAACCCGAAAATTGTGTGACCGCCGCCTCGGACTTCTGACCACATCGGCGGATGTCCTGATCTTACATCGGTGTATGTCCTGATCTTACATCGGCGGATGTCCTGAGCCGAACGCTCTCCCTCGTCTATCCACAGATCCTCTGAGTTAATCTATTGCTCTGCTGGCTGTTGAGTCATCGATCTATCGATCCATTCGCGGAAATTCCGGACACACGGATGAAGACGGTTGCGTTAGCCACGACGCAGACATCGATGTCTTGGAGCACCGCGTGTTGTTCATGTCAGTGTCAGGACGGGCCAGGATGCGTCTACTGCTACACCGCTGCGGCTGTTTCCTTCTGTGAGCTGTAGATGTCCTACATCACCGACCACGGACTTGCATGGTGCACTTTTGCACGAGGTGGCTATTTTACGTGTGTGGTTCCTCAGTCCCTCGGACTGGGCCGACCGATATCGAGTCACTGATATCGAGTCGGCGAGTCGCTCAGGTGGAGTCATTGCACTGTTCAGATCGAGCGGCCGCGTCTCTGAGAAAGTGTACCATTGAGTCGCTCAGATCGAGCCAATCAGGCAGAGATCGGTTCGGATGGTCACCGATCGAATCGTAACACTCACCGACTCGATGCCGTCTGTGGAGTTCTCCTCGCCCGACTCAGGCTCCAGCTTGGGCCGCTTTATCTGCGGGATGGCCTCAGGTCAGGTTGGGTCAATGTTATGACCTCGGGTCCGACACAGGGTTGGGTGCATGGTGTTAGGGTCAGGGGTAAGCAGTAGACAGCAGGTTACGCACGCGCACCGCATCGACCTTCACGGGCCATGACGGGAGTTATCCCATGAGATCTCGCTAACAGCATATTGGTTGATTCACATTTCACAGACTGTTTGCTTACCAAACATCATGTAACAAATCAACAGGACAGCTCATTACACGTTGATTTACGACTAGACTTAGTTCAAAATACACCAAATATACTAAAGAACGCCACTGTATTTTCTTAATGAATCCTTTGCTAGGCATCTCTGCAACATTTGGACCTCTGGTGACAACGCTCAACGTCGGCTGACAGCTTGCAACTGAGTGTTATAGTGTAAACTTGGGCTCAATTAGCTATGTTCGGTCTAAAATGAAGGATAAAACACAACAGCGAAGGGGGTGATGATTCTTCACCTTTACTCGCACGAGGAAACGTCCATGTCTAGGAGCGCTTTTGACTTTATCCACAGTTTTTCCTCCTTTTCGCTGGGCGTCCGAAACGTGTTCGAAACCGCTCAGCTACTCGCGTTCCAACGCGTTCGAAAAAGCCTAACCAGAGCCCACATTCGCCAGGTCTAAGTCGCTCCGCCCCGCCCCCCAGTCTAAGTCAGCCCCGCCCCCCAGAGCGCAGCCACGGCAGCCGAACTGACCACAGAACTGTCGTCGCCGTTGCTGAAGGGCGCCTGGGCGGTGGGGGCGCCGTCAGCAGGGGGCGGCGCCCGCTCGCCGCCGCCCTCAGCGCCCCCCGCCTCGAACGGCTCTGGTTTTGGGCGTTTTCGGTGGACGGGGTCGTCCGGGGGCGCCGGCTGGCGCGGCGTGATGCCGCCCATGGCGGGTCGTGACCCGGTCAGCCCTGCGGGCACACGGAGGTCAGCGGAGGAACACCGAGGTCAGCGGGGAACACCGAGGTCAGCGGGGCACGCGGAGACTGAGGGAAACATGGAGGTCCACGGGGGCACATGGAGGATCGCAGAGGGCTCCGCGGGCGACGAGCTGGGGGGGGGGGGGGGTATTGCAGTTTCTGGAAAGCTTTCTGTCTGGTGCGGGGTGGTGCGTGGGCTAGAACGAATGGGTAACTTGTGGCTTGCAGGTCAGGGAGTGGGGTGAAGGTCAAACTCCTGGGACTACAAATTGTGAATGAAAAGTGGGGACCATTTGCTATTTGTTGGTGAACTCGGATTAGACATGCGGTTAGCAGTAAACCGGCAACAGAGTATCGCTGGGCCCCATTCTCGGCACACAGTGCGCGCATTTGACAGTGGGCTTAGGATTGGGAAGTTGCGCGCATTCGTTGTCTTCAAGATAAGGGTCAACGCATCATCCTCGACCGCGAAGTGTCAGCTATGGATTGCGCCGAGGTGTACTCCGGAGCGTTTCAACCAGCAAGCAATGAAACAATCAAATATCAGAATTGGTACCACTCCGCGCTATTTAATTCAGAAGTTGGGCCCTGCCAGCTCCCAGTGAGTTTATATTAGCTCGGCGCCAGCTCCACCTGAACAGCGAACAAGACTGCAGGCTCGGGAAGGCCCTGCTTCCCTCGGGAATATCACATCTGCTGGTGGGTCCACCACGAGAAGACTTGTAAAGACTGCGTGTGACCGAGCGAAGGTCACCAGACGAAGGTCACCAGAAGTAAGCGACGTGACCTTTAACGGACTTTGTGTCAGTCTGGCAGCATGCGCTGCCAGATGTTGAACATTTTAGAAATGAGACATTCAAAGTCACATTCGTATCTTAACTCGTTCAGTTGAAACATTTTCGCAAGGAGCTGCCCAACCGACTAAAAGGTTGTGTCCTAGAGAAGATACTTGCCAGATAAGACGCCGCAGCATTTGGCTGGCCCATCTGTTGGCGTTGTATGCGTGCTGCATATATGTTGCATGCATGCGCGTGTGCTGGTCTGCTCGACGCCAAAATAACGAGCAACATTATGATACAGATAATCCATGAAATATTGCAACTGTGGAAAGCGGCATGCAGTGCAATTTTACCTGTTTTTGCACGCGATATGGATAGCTGTCGCTTACAGACTGCATTGGTAACCGTGGCTGAAGACCGTAGAGGTCCGTTGGTATAGCGGCACCGCGGAAATAGTCGTCTCGCAACGCTAAAATGTTACATTCATACCAATTTCAGTGAACGGTGGTTTGACCTTTGCTACACGTGTACCGGCCTACCTGCCACCCACGCCAGTGACAATGTCACTCTCAATTCGACACGAAATTGCAGTTTAAGACGCGTTTAACAGTGAACGGTTGGGTACCTCAACTCCATTTCAGGACCTAAGCTTTCCCCAACGTTGAGCAACTGAGGCTACCAGAAATGTGTTCTTATTTTATCTCTCCTCCAAAAAAGCAAAACGTTGCAGCCAATTGGTTTTTCCAGGGACAGTGAATCCGAATGCCTGGAATGTTGGCACTTTTGGGATGCGTCTTCGGCTGTTAGGCTATAGACAGGAATGTTGGCATGGGGTAAGCACTATCAGGCGGTGCACGCCGCCCAATAGGCCCGTGCTAAGGCAGAAAATTTGCATGATGGTTGCAGCGTAAAGAAAAACTTTTCTAAAAAGAATGGTATCACTTGATAAGTGGAGCATTTCGAGGCTGCTACACAGTTTTTAGAATGAGCAAATACGGCATTCAACCTTAAGTTTTTAATTTTCATTTACTATCCAAACAGCATAACTACACAGAGAAACGTTCTGAATTATCCCAGAATGACTCCTTCAGCAGGTCCCAAGGCTTGTAGGTTGGTACCCTTTGTAGGTACTCCCTGGTAGGTAGGTTGTGCCACCTCTGACATCCGACCTGCTCACCTCTGATCATCAGGCCCTCGGCGGTCGAGAAGAGCGAGTCCAGATCATTCTTCTCGACCTCGACCTCGCCCTTGTACATGAACTCGATGATGCTCCTGAGTTCGGTGAACTTGACATCTGCGAAAAACACGGGCCCGGGGTCAGGGAGAGCTCAGTGTTAAGAACAGTTGCAGGATGCGAAGAAATTTGATTCCCCAATTTGGACCTTGCCCCACAAACCCAGTCAGCTAAAAAAAAACATCACATTGACCTGAAGGTAACCCAGTACGGTCAACAGATTTCCCATCTTAAGCACATCGTATCATTACATACGAGCTGATGCCAACACGAAATGCTACATGTAGCATGCATAAGAACATATAGATTTTCAGTTCACATTTTGTTCTTTATCTATTCCAATATGTCTGAGTGTGAAAATATCTAAATCCTTTTCACACTGCCACCTGCTTTTCCCTTTCCTTTTCAGCACAACAAAATCCAAGAGTAATCCACAATTGCTCGAAGTGATCCGTCCCGCGAAAGACTCAGCTGCCCGCCTCGATAGCAGCTTTAAGGGTCCCTCACGGAGATTTGGAAACCCCCTGTTAACAAAGCTCGAAAGATTTATAACAAGCGGGTACACAAGCAGGGTTTTTGTCGCTGCGCTTGTTACAGCTGCACCAATCAACTCAATCAGGAGGCGTTGGCAGTGTTGGTGCTTATTTTTTCTGAAGTTGGGGGAGCTATCCCCTGGCCGTACCGACCCCGCGACAATGGCGTCCGTCCACTTTATAGTTCATGAGCGTAAATAGGCATGTTGTATTCGACGAGCGCTCTGTGCCAAAACGACTTAAGTAACAGAACGTCTTTAGTCTTAAGTAACTCTTCACTGGTGGCTCAACGTCCTGAAGGTATGAACAAGGCCGACAGAATAGTCAAAAATGCCCGGAGACACAAAACGTAAGGTACAGGCTAGGCGCACGCATCCGCCACGCTCAGTGCCCGCTTTCGGTCTGACTTCATTTCAGTTCTACCGCCGGGGGGGGGGGGGGGGGCTGAGTTTCGGGCCCGCTTAAACAGGGCGAGGGCCAAAGGCTCACGTTAGTCCCAGTCGATGTCGTGAGGCAAATCACGGCTCAACGTTTCAATACGCATTTAACGTAGCACGTGTAAAAGCGTTTCAGTTTACTTATTCAATAGATGCACGGTCGAAAGACGTTTAGTTTCCCTGGCTCACCAGCTTGCCGAGTACAATCCGCACTGTATTTTCGATTAATGCAGCTCATCCCTTTACGGCTGCGAGTGCATTAAGTGTTGAGCTGCCCGATACACAACCAATCACCTGCCAGGCCAGGCTCATGAGACTCGGAGGATGCGCTCGAGCTCAGGGCACGCGCAAAACTCAACAAATCAAAAAGTCAATACTTGAGCTCAGGACACGCGTAAAACTCAACAAATCAAAAAGTCAATACTTAAGCTCAGGACACGCGCAAAACTCAACAGATAAATACGCCAATACAAACGCTGCAGATATAGAGGAGAGTCGCGCGTTCATTCTTGCCATCCAACGCCATAGGCTCAACGCTGATAAGCTGAAATGTCGGAGAGCAGCAGCGTTCCCAGCTAGCAGCGGCTGAGTTCGGCTGGTGGCTCCGGTATCGGGTCCACGACACAGCGGGCAGGCGCCGCCGACACTATCGGCGCGTGACACACGTCCTCCACGCGCCGGCCGCCGGCCGCTGGGCAAACAGTGACTCAGGCTCGGTACTTACCCTTCAGTATCACAATAGGGTGGGTCTCTGTGTGGTCTTGAAAGAGTGTTTCAAAGTAGGGCGAGCAGGCAGACAGCACAAGCTTGTGCGCCTTCAGACTCTGACCCTCGCACGAGAGGGTCACGTCCACCAGAGATTCTGGAAAGCACGAAGAGGTCAGCTTTGAGCTTGGGCCCTCGTTGGAGAGGCTGATGTTCATAGGTACAATCTTTTTAAGGGTTGTGGCTACCCAAACACACGCATATCTTAAAATCCTTGAGCACGCTCTTTGGCCCGGTGGCCCGAATTTTTAAATTGTCGATCCACTCACTCCATTACTGTGTAGCTTGGTGGGGTCCCGGCCGTGCAAACCTATGGTCTCTGCTTGATTTTCGTGCTGGATGGTGACGGGAGAAGGAGGCTGCATCGGTACATCTTTGATTCTGCAGACTTTATCTGCATTCGCTCACCGCCAAGCCGCAGAAGAAAAACAAATGAGAAGCGACTGTACCGAACATATTTTAGCTCATGGCGCTCATTCCTCACATTCTATGTTTTGGGTGCGCAAATCATGCTATTCGGGTCAATTCCAGCGTCGTGGGTGCCACAGCATTCTTAAAGAGATGGGAAACCACACCATTGGTCAACTGTGGTCACGTGGCCGCGTTGGTCGCGTAGACCAGAAAACGCCCGAATCAGGGAAGAGGTTCATTTCCACTTTGATCTTCGCGGGAGAGTGGTTAGGTCCACCTGAGACCCTGCGGGGCATGCGAGAGGTTCGCTTGCGTGCCCTCAGACCCCACCCTCTGCAAGAAAGGGTCTCTCTTGCCAGGCAAATGCTTGTGCCACCTCAGACTTACGTGAGGACGTCACGCCGCTGGCGCAGCCCAGGGCAGGGCGGGGCACCCGGCCTCTCCCCTTAGGCCTGTATTCTTTTCTATTTTTTAACCATAGGTAGCTCTGGACAGAACGGTAATCTCTACGTGATACGTTCTCACTGAGGTCTCCCCTCCCTATGTGAGGAAATCCTGACGGTGCCCCTGTATCGCGCGTACCAGCAATTCCGCATCTTCTGAGGAGAGGTAAGCTTGGGTGTCCTCAGAATCCGAGCCTCAAGCGGTAAGCACACTAGACTAGATACTCTGCGCATATTAGGTACTACATACTAGATAGATTCTTACTAGATTCCTACTAGACTCCCACTAGATATTCTGCGGGGTCACGATGGAGCCACGCGCTGCAACTCTAGGCTTTGATCCACGAAAAGGGGTTCAAGTCGGCCGGCCCTCGGAAGTTCTGCGAGATGAGATAAGGTGAGAATTGGTGAGCATGTGCTCCCTCACGCTCTGAAACTTCACCGCCCCGTTACATTCCACCCAAGCCCTTCTCGGCCGGTGCAGTCTGTGCTGAGCGTGCTCGCCATGGTGTAGCTTCCAGCTGCAGCTTATGACACAACTTTCAGAGCGCGTCTTACGTAAGCAGTTACTGATGTCAAGTACTTCTGCAGCTGCCGTCATGTCACTACGATTAGACTGTCGCTTTCCAAGCCGAAAGGCCCGCAACGCGCGGCTGGAAAAAAAATCAAGGGATTTTAAAGGGCTGCATGGACAATGCTGCGCTCCCTGCAGTTTTTCGGGACCAAATATTCACAAAACTAATATTCGGTCGATTCTAAAATGCATCGTAGATTTGTGCTGGAAATACAAAACCACATTGAGAAGTTTAGAAGGATATAAACCAGAAAGTGCAACCGCGACGCAGTGATAGCAACTCAACTTTAATACATGAACCGCAGCTCAGCAGCAGCCAAACAGTAGTCGCCATGTTCATTGCGTCCTACCCTCATATGTTCCCAGTAGCAGGCACGCTCTGCACAACTAACTTGAAAGAATAGTGACACGCAGGCATTTGGAAGCAGTAGTGTAGACCAAAGGGCCTGTGGTAAAAAATAGTGAAGCGACCGAACCAGTATGTGCATTCTTATGAAATAAACTGAGATTAAGACTCAGTTCCACATGCAGCGGTACAGGTTGGCTCCTAATTGCCCAGCATGCAGCAGGTTTCCTGGGAAATGTTTGCAAATTTAAAATATTTTCCAGGACACCTGCCCCAAACCAGCCCATGTTTTGGAATCGGCCAAAACACGAAGAAGAGGGTGACAACACGCTTACTCCTGACATTCGTACGCCTGTGACAATATCAGCTACTCCTGTTCTTGGCATGGTGTGCTCTGGTCATGCTCTTGTAAGTATGGCTTATTTATAATTGTCGAAGATACGGCATTTATTACCCATCAGCTTCCACCACACATGATCATATCATCCAAAATGAAGCTTGCGACTCTGAGCCGTCTATTTCAAGGAGCATTGCGCTGCGGGCGGAACGGGCCTTGTAAATCAGTCTGAGGGTGAAACGGCTTTTTGAAAAGTTAAAAGGCGACCACTCTATGACGCACTCCCAGCGGAGTGCTCGAACTGAGAGTATAAATCACATGGCCGCTAGCGTCGTTTTCCTGGAAATATTTGATCGCTCCGTTAACGTTCTTGGATTCTGAGGCCTACTTGTGTAACGTCCTTGCAATGGCTTCATGTCAAACTGAAACAATCAAGGGGCACAGGAGAGTGACGGGAGCTCCCGATTCGACAATAACAATTGTCTGCTTCACACGCAGCATTCGTTGCAGCATGCTGACGATCCTAAAATGGTTCCAGAAAGACGTACAATAAGTACCGCACTGAACGCTATAGAGCACGGTGCCCTGTAACGCGGGTAATAGAGGGGCAGCTGCACAAGGGAGTCAAAGTAGCCGACCGCGTGGAACATCTACAAAGTACACAGGCATCTATACAGTACACAGACATCTACACAGTACACAGACACTTTTGCTGTCGAACAAGCTAACCATGACCAGCGCAAACACCTAGAAACTGGCGTTACCCACCACGAAGCATCCACAAGCGATGGCGCTGGTCGTGGCCACCAGCCACAGTTGAAAAAAACCACAGCCATAGTTCAGCCTCAGCCATCAGCCTCTGGCTGCCGAGCATACAACGGAGCGCGCCACCGGGCTTTCAGTCCTCCCGTCTTGGCAGCGAAACAGAGAGGACCGAGTACGCTCTGCGTGCACGCGTGTCTGCGCGTGCCCTGTGTCTCAGCGCGCACACGTGCCTCCGGGGCTGGCGGGCACCGCGGTAGGCGGCAGGACGGCGGGGCGGAGTTGCTGTGGGCCGACATCAGACTGCGGTAAAGGCCAGCAGACTCCCCTCTCAGACTCCTCGGGGATCAGAGACGCCGGCGGAGTCGGAGTGGGGGGGGGGGGGGGGGGGAGGACTTCAACAGGTCAGCCAGTCCCCTCGGGGAAAGTTTGCATTGCGAAAGTTCGTTGCGAAAGTTCGTTACTCGGCGTTCTCATGTCACCCTGGGTTGGTCTGCAGGCTGGCTTGACATTCTACAGGCAGATCCTGGCCGCTCTGCCGTCGGGAGGACTGGGGGCATGGACAGAATTTGACCATGAAAGGTCAAAACTCAAAAGGCTTCACAGAAAACCCAGTTTAGCGTGCCACAGGAGCGCACAATTTCTTGCATGGTGTAAACCAACACCATATGTTGTCGATCTCATTACTCCTGCGCGTCCATTTCGAGCATTAAGACTGAGGATTTCTTAAAGTGGCAAGACGATGGGCGTGGCCTGATTCAAACCTTCCATCACCTGACTCAGACCTTCTTCTCTCTGCCTGACTCGGACCTTGAGAGCAGTGCGAAGCGTCTCGTGCAATCTCGGCTGATTTTCCTTCCCTTACTATAGCCCTCTGGACAGCCCTTAGTTCTGAGTGTAGCATTTCAACCTTTAACAGCAACCAGCTAGAAGCTGATTGGTCAACAACGAAAACCAGTGGTTTTGGTTTCAGAAGTTGATTCAGCCACGTCGACTCGATCGGCCCCATCTTCCGTGAGACGTCGGCCATGGCCTGAAAGCGGTGTTGAAGTGACTGAGAATCCCAGAGTCCTCACCTGATCGCAGTAGATTTTTAAACACGTCCACCAGATGGTGAGTGTGGTTGTTCCACTTGAGGCTGAACTGCTCCGTGCCCATCATCTGCAACAAGAGAAGTCAGAGGTCAGGTCGCGGGTCAGAGCAGATGGGGGAAATAAAGGAGCAGATGGTGTAATGTTACTACAACTTTTGGAACCTTTGGGAAGCGCGTGAATCACATGGCTTCATGTTGGTATATGATCAAAAGCTTGAAATAAATCTACAATGGCGTAAACAGCCCGCCTTGCAAGGCGTATATACAATATACGGTCAGACTAAGCGTAGGGGAACGGAAGTCGGTGGACGGTGCATAAGTTCATGAGTTGAGGAATTTGTCAGTTGAAAATCAAACTGCTCGCTCTATAAATCTTGAGAAAACTGAGACACAAGGGAACGCCAAACAAACTTTATGGGCAGCGTTCGGCGCGCCATGCTTTTGTTCGACTATTTATTTATGGCGACCTGAACGCCGCCTGGAGGGGACCACTCGCCCCATTTCTTAGACAGCATCCTGGCCATGTTGCATGCCCTAATGTCTCTGCATGACATGCATTCCGAGAGCCTCGACGAGCCCGATCCACGAGGGACAGACCAGACAGCCACGCAGGAAAGACCCGATCGGCTGACCACGCTCGGTCGTCCCGCGCATGGAGCTCTAGAATCTCTTCCTCGTGGTGCTTTTGCGCCGTTCACTACAGTGAACGCAGCTCTCGGGTGCGTTCTGTCGTACGCCGGCACGTAGTAACACCATTTTCAATATACATTCAGGGTCGTCGACTTTTTTGCATCCCTGCACCGTTCGTGCAGACCCACGGCCGCCGCGACACCGGCGTGCGTGGGTCGCTGCTGGTGGTGGTCTTAGCGAGGCTAGCCATCGGGTCGAAGTCATCGCCGTCATACACTTGCAAATTATGACCCGTTCATAACTGAATTTTGTGATGCTGGCCAACGCGCAAGCTTCAATGCCTTGACTGCACCTGCAATTGCGCAGGCTCCCTGCTGTCCTGCAAAAGCCTCAACCTCAACGCCAGCGTGTGACGAATCATTTCTCAGTTTGCACTCGGGTGATCGAACACACCATAAGGCTCCAGCAGAATGGCGACAACGGGGCAAAACTCGCCCGCAGCAGGCCGGCAACGGGATTGGCCATTTTGAATAGTGCGTAAACAACCCTTTAGTGCCTGCGCCCCCTCCCTCGCGCGTAATACCGCGCCCCATTTGCGCGCGGCGCACTCCAGTCTCCTCCCACTGTGACGTCACAGCCCTAAGGACGGCCCACGCAGGGGCCGCGAAGGCGCACCCTCTGTCAGAGACTGGACGAAAGCAGGTGGCTCTGGGTCGTCCATGACAGAGGCTGTCCTGCGGTCTGCTATTACCGAAGACCGTTACTAATTTAGGGGCGGTGACTTTCGCAACCTGCTGACTTCAAACCTTGCGCCGATCGGTCGTAATATCCGCAGATCCACGGCTGTACTGCACCTGGACATGACCCAATGGATCGGTTTGTTGTTGGGGTGTCGCTGGATATGCCTGAATGGGAAAAGCCCAAGCACTAAGAACAGAAAGGCATCATTGAAGTCTGGCGGTTCGTTCTCTGACCGAACCTTCGCTGGACAGATCCTACAAATGCTACACGTTCCATAGTGTCGTGCCTTGTACGAAAGTGTCTACGCTAAAGGACACTAGAAAAATACTACAAAAATTAAACAAACATTCGAAACTATTAACAATGAAGAGAACAAATAGAGCTCAGATAGACCAAGCCGGACGTAGAAGACAGAACGAGTCGGTGAGAGGGATTACAACGATACTCATCAATGAAAGGCAGGCAAGGAGGAGGGCAAATCACATTCCCGATTAGTAAGTCCGAACGCAGAGCGCTTAAGGGGAATGGTCCACATTTGCAGATAATGGGGCAAGCGTCCTAAATCTTGAATAAGCTGACTTGTGATTTACTGGTTCGCAAGAACGTGCAAAAGACTGCTCCAGACAACACAATCTCACTACTTAATGATATCTCCTCATTGCGTCATCGCTTGTCTCATCAGGGATCGCCTTTATGTCACCAGAATCGCTGCCAGACAGACCATATCATAATAACTCTTGCTGAAGGCGGGTTGATTCACTTGTAGAACTTGAACACGCCGAGAGTTGGGGGGGGGGGGGGGCTTTGTGGGTGCGTGTTTGCTGAGCCCGTATATCGTTGTTTGACCCTTAGTGTTTTTTATGTTCTAAAACCGTATAGCGTGTTTTGACCCTTTCCCGTGGTGTTCTTGTATACCTGTACGTCATTTTACATTCTTCAGCTGAACTTACATGGGCGGTAAAGGCGCTTTTCCTAGATTATTCTCATTCCAGTCTCATTTCCGTCAAAACCAACACTTCTGCCTAGATGCCTGCATTATGTAGCATAAATTAGGATCCGTGTTCAAAACTTGCACTCAGTGCATTGAATGGATTTCAGGCCGACTGATATCCGTTCATGCCACAAATCGTGCTGACTTACGTCAGACACGAGTAATAATTTGAAGATCGTATCTTCCTGACTTTGAGCACTACATGGCCATGGTGGTCGTAGAACTCGTGTGACGTCTCTATGACGTCATGCATGTCTGGCTGACCTCCAGATAGACTATGTGAAATAGTCTGCGCATGTCCGCATGCGTCAAGCTCGGAAACTAAAGGGTTTGAAGCTTTAAGAAGGGTGTGGCTGCAAATTACACTGCATGTTCGTTGAATGTCTACCTCACTTAAAAACCCTATACAGATGTGGGGTGATCTCTTCACACATAATATCATAAATCACATACGAAACTGCACGTGGTAAACCTAGGTGCGCACAGAAATGGTGTATGCTGAATTGCCCTGCAGGAAAGCTGGAAGGCCGGAAAGCTGGAAAATTGCAGAGCTCCATGAGGGCTGGAAAGTCGGTGGCAGGAAACCTCTGCTTTCGGCGTGGCCCAAGTTGGTGTTATCGGAACAAAAGGTGATGGCAGTGGTCGATCTATTAAAACAAACTTCATGTTGAGTCTGCGGATGTAATTGCCCGTAAATTCGAAAGGGCAGGCGTCCTCTCAAAAATTTCCACATCTTAAGACCGGGCACGAGGCTCAGAATGCAAAAAAATATTTAGTTAGACCAAAAGTTCCTTTGCGCATGCTGCTCAATTAAGAGGACCTCCATAATATTCCGCCTCTAAATTACCTCTTAATAGCATGGCTTGTAGTCAGAGCGCTAAACACAAACAGCGGCATCAGATCCGAGCCTGATTTCTTCTTTGTTGCTGGCGGCATGATCGAGGCTCAGGTTTGCGAACATGTCTTCGGCGGGTGGAACGACCACGTAGGCTACCAGCAGGCGTCACCTGCACGCAGGCCAAAAGTGGCGAAAAGACAACGATTCCGCTGAATCCGGTCCAGGGGCGCACCCAGTACAGATGGCCGGGAGCCGACACCGACGCACCACAACCATCAACCATCAACCACATCAACCATTGCCATCAACTATTGGCAACTCAGGCCTTTACGTGGCGGCAACCCATCACCGTTTTTTTACCCCTTGCTCTGATCCTGGGCGCGCCCCTGCCGCCGCGCGTGCTCGCCAGTGGCGGATATGGGCCGGCGACGGAGGTCGCCCCTCACGCGGGGGAATTTTTGGCGCGCTTGCGACAAACAATGCAAGGAAAACGCCGCGCCATCGGTGCAGTGACCCGGTCAACGCTGCCGAACGCAGGAACCGGTGTCCGATGATGTGCCCTTACACTGCTTGGCGACAGGTTAGGTGGCCAGGCCAGCGTCAGAACTGGGGATGGAAGCCATAAAGCGCTGGGCGTCCGGGCGGGCGTTGAGAACGTGGCTTTACGAAGGATACAAATTTACTTACCGTTTCGGTGTTAAAGTGGCGCTTAGGACGACACGGAGGGACAGACAGACGCAACTGGAGGGGAGAGGGGACGCTCTTACGCCCGTATACCTACATCACAGGTTAGCTCCAAAGAAGACCTCTCCGGTTCTTTGTTATGAGTGATTGCTAAGCTTCGTTCCCCTCCCCGCTTAAGGAAGTCTTGGCTGCGCCCCTGGATAAAAATATTGGAGAGAACTCTCGAGAGGAGCACAATACTCCACCCATATGAGAGCGACCAATGCAGGAGCGAAGGTAGCAGATTCTCACACCTGTTACCACGTTGCTCAGTCAAGTGAGCAGAAATATCTCACTCACCACCTACAGGTCAGAATGGGTGGGCGCCTGAGCGTCGACAAAACGTCAAAGCGGAGAAAAATTTATACTGATCTGTGTCAGTGATTCCCGTCTCTGCAATCAAAACATTCCGTGAGATTACCGGGACTTTAGCTTTGATAGCCACTGATCCAAGAAACAGAGTCACATTTCTCATACCGAATCTTTCAGTTCTAGAGGCAGGAATCACTGCCACGGGTCAACGTAAATACTTTCCTCGGCGAAGGCGCTCTTTACACAGTTCTGTCAACACAATAGAAGTACCGCAGCAGATGTCGTGCGCAGGGATACATCCTGCATCCGACTGGATCGGAAACAACAGCGGTGTTGCATGGAATGTTCCCACGTATGTGTGCATTCCAAGGCTTCGTTTTTGTTTTTGTTCCGATGCAATTTTCAAGTATGCATGCGCTATGCTTTGAACCAGCATGTCTTCATGTGCAAGTCCATGATGTCTTCCACAGATGAAGTCGCGGGCGCCCACTGGTGCTTGTTCCAGCAGGATGCAATGTGTATAGTTCTTTTCTTAAACCGTGCTCGTCTGCGAGTAGCGACCACTGTAATGGCTTCGCCTTCAGCTGGAACTGTCATTGACACTGTCAACGTCATCGACTGAAATTGTCATCAGGGTTGTCCAGTGGCTTTGAGGTTAGCTCTCCAGTTGAGCAGTTCCAGTTTGACGATTTTTTCCTCGGTTCTTTGTTTTGACAAAAAAAATAATGAAGGATTTCCTTCACCGCAGCACCGTCGGCCACCTCATGCTCGTCCGACCGCCTCACTTCTTGGCCACTTTCCATCTGACCATCTTGGACGAGTCACACCAAGGT